GCTTCCGCCACCTGTCCTCATTTTAGGTGATTTTAACGCTCACCATTCAGCGTGGGGTTGTGTCAAGACAAACTCTCGCGGGAAACGCTGCGAAGCCTTCATACATGAAGAATCGCTGTGCCTCTTAAACACGGGCACGCGCACCCATTTTACACTCCCATCAGGACAGGCATCGGCAATCGACTTAAGTCTTTTGAGCCCACAACTGATCAACCATTTCGACTGGTCGGTGTCAGACGATCCAATGGGAAGTGACCACTTCCCCATCTGGATCAAGTACCGGGCTGGCGTTTTTCTTGGTTCTCGGCCACAGCGCTGGAATTTTAGAAAAGCCGACTGGACTGAGTTTCAAGCGAGGATCGAGCATTCCCTTACTATGCAGCCAGCGAGTGAACCCCCGTCGGTAGAGGATTTGACATCGCTGATTTTGCGGTCTGCAGAAGGGTGCTTACCGCGAACGTCGGGCTGCCCATCGTCGTCCTCCTGTCCCATGGTGGACGCAGCAGTGCCGGGACGCAATCTGTGCACGTAGGAGGGCCCTTAAAAAGTTTGACCGTCTGAGTACTACTGAGAATCTTATTGCATTTCGACGAGCACGAGCGGCTGCTAGACTTACCATTCTAGAGACTAAGCGGGCATGGTGGCGATCGTACGTCGGCCAACTAAACTGCCAAACACCTGTATCCAATATATGGTCACGGATCAAACGCATTGCTGGACAGCACTCGTCTGTGCCACACCCTGTGCTCCGTATCAATGGACGTGACATTATACACCCAGCTGACGTAGCAAATGAAATCGCCCGCGCATTCTCCGAACGGTGCGGTAACGGTAACGCCGTCCCGCAGTTTATGCGTCACCGGATCCGCTGCGAGGCATCCCCTGTCGACTTCAGCACGACGGAGCAGATGTCGTATAACCGACCTTTTACAATGGCCGAACTAATTTCCGCGATCGGATCGCTGCGCAATGTGGCAGAGGGTCCGGGTCTAGTTCACAACGCCATGCTTAAGCAACTTCCCACTTCAGTAGTTGAGGCCCTCTTAGCGACGTACAGCAATCTCTGGGAGAATGGAGGTTTTCCGGAGTCGTGGCGTGAGTCACATATTGTCCCTATGCTCAAGCCTGGTAAGAGTGGGGCTGACCCTGCTGACTATCACCCTATCTCACTGACATCATGCATTTGTAAGTTGATGGAACGTATGGTAAATGTGCGTTTGTCGTGGTTTTTGGAGCGGTACAACGTTTTTACGGCTGCTCAATGTGGATTCAGGAAAAATCGCAGTACCATTGACCATCTTATAGCTCTCGACACAAACATTCGCACCAGTTTTAGGGAAAAGCGACATGTTGGCGCTGTGTTTTTTTATGTTGAAAAAGCCTATGATACGACGTGGCGTTACGGCATCCTGAAAAAGCTCTTTCCTTATGGCATTCGAGGAGCCATGGGCACGTTCTTAGCGAACTTTATGACCGATCGTTCTTTCAGAGTTCGTGCTGGCTCACACTTCTCGGATATGTACCAACAAGACAATGGCGTGCCCCAGGGTAGCGTTTGAGCGTTGCTCTGTTCGCGGTTACGATTAACGATATTGGTGACTCCCTTCCAAAGTGGGCCAGCCGCTCTCTTTCTTCGTGGATGACGTCGCCATCTGGTATGCCTCGTCAAACTTTGCCTCTTTGGAACGTCGCTTGCAGTTGGCTGTGATCAGCCTGGAAAGGTGGAGCGTTATAAACGGACCACGTTTCTCGACCTCGAAAACAGTCGCTATGCACTTTTGCAGACGACGTCGTCAATGCCCCGCTATGGCTTTAAGGCTACACGGCCAGACCATCCCAAACGAACCCAGTACCCGCGTCTTGGGTCTGCAGTTTGATAACCGTTTATCGTATGGGTCACATTTGAAAACCCTACGTGACAACTGTTTTAAAGCATGGAACATATTGAAGTATGTGTCTCGAACATCTTATGGAGCGGACAGAAGAACACTGCTACTGCTATACCGCTCACTTATACGTTCGAAACTTGATTATGGCTGTTTTATTTATGACCGCGCGCCGAGTTCCTGCAAACGTTTATTAGACACCGTGCACCATACCGCATTATGCATTGTGACGGGGGCATTCAGGACGTCGCCAGTTGCTAGCCTTACCGTGGAAGTTAATGAACCGGCGTTGGCAATGAGAAGGGAAATGCTTGGCATGCGGTACTTTTGCAAGCTGGGTCAATTTCCCAACCATCCGACTCACCGAGCAATCTTTTCACGTGATGTGAAAAGCAAGTTCCAAAGTAGCAGAAGGCTGTCCGCTATCCCATTTGGTGTCCATATGAAGAAGCTGTTCCGGGAAAGCGACATAAGTTTGCGTGGTGTGCTAAGGTCGCGTCCCGTATTAGTGCCTCCATGGGAGCTAATCTCACCAAAAGTGGACGTATCCCTTTCATGCACAAGCAAACAGGGAGCAATCCCATGCGACCTGAGATCGAAGGCTCTGGAGCACATCGGGTCGTACATAGGTTCTCAAGCCACATAAACTGATGGGTCGAAGACGGAGGTAGGCGTTGGTGCTGCATTTGTGAATGGCCAAGCCACCCGGTCCTTTTCTTTACCGAAACACGCCTCAGTTTACACGTCCGAGCTCGTTGCCATCAGTAAAGCCCTATGCTTCATCTAAGTTGGTGAGAGCAACTCACACGTGATCTTATCCGATTCTTTGAACGGCCTGTTTGCTTTGACAACCTATAACCCACCTTGTCCCATTATACAGGATATTTTAGTTCGCCTGACAGCGCTGGATCTTGCTGGTAAAACTGTCGTCTTATGTTGGATACCGAGTCATGTGGGTATCGCAGGTAACGAGCGTGCTGACGCGGCCGCAAAACGGGCAGCGCGTGCACCTTGCACCCGTTCTTTACCCTTTCCGGGAAGGGACGCTTACCCCGCAATCACGGCCTCTGTGAAGGGGAAATGGCAACGCTGCTGGGACGCCATTGTAAACAATAAGCTAAAGATGATCAAGCCACAACTGGGTCTATGGTCTTCAAGCTCACGTAAGCTGAGACGCGAAGAAGTAACCCTCAGCAGATTACGAATTGGCCACACGCACGCAACACATAGCTACCTTTTGTGCGGTGAAGAATGCCCTTAATGTCCTCGCTGTGATGCGCCACTTCCGGTTCGCCACGTTATTCACTCCCGCCCACAGTTCAGAGAAGAGCGGGCACTTTACTTCGGACGAGATGCGTCAGGTCTTACCTTTTCAGACCTTATTGGTGACGATTCTCGCATGCTTGGCACCGGGCAGCTGTTTTCATTTTTGAGAAGCGTGGGATTCACAGCCATCTATTCGCCACGGTAAACACTTAGCTGTTGTGGGCGCAAAATGACCCTAGAAGTCGACGCGCCCTAAAACCCCAATCATCATCATCACCCAGCCCAGTAGCTTCGTGCGACCGCGTTGCTTCCGGACGCTATGTAACAAGTGCGCAGAATTTTATCGGCAACATTGGCTGGTTAACAGCCAACATGATTCGTAGCTGTGAGTCATAGGCATCGCTTACAATGGGCGATGCAGTACGGCATATGTCACCAAACATCAGCGGGTCGTGCCAGGAGTCACTGCTGGAATAAGTAGCTTATAATGGGCGATCCAGTACGGTATATATGGGCGATACAGTGCGGTATATGTCACCAAACATCAGCGGGTCGTGTCAGGAGTCATTGCTGAAAGAAGCCGTTTTTGTGTACTTTGGGTTTGGGTTGTAAGTCTATCCATTTTCTCTCGCACAACGTCCGCCACGTTGCAAAACTACACCGCTGAATCGTGCGCTCTTGTGTCCAACGCTTCACTACTCCCGGGGATAACAACAACATCAAGACGGCAAATGGTCGGGCGTGTCATAGCCGACCATCGACGGACGCCGCAAGCCACTCGGAGGTCTTAGTGACGACATACGCTAGTGGCAATCTTGCCGCTTACTCTACGAAGCGATGTTAAACATGTGCAATGCTGCTCCAGCACTATGCGGTGCGCGCGAGGTGACTAGTGTTTTGGGCACGTTCGTCTGATGTCCCATACATACCGGATGTTGCCCCGTCCTGACAGTCGTGCAGGGCGCTAGAGATGGATTACGAAGTGCCTCACAGGTTATAGTCCACACGCCCGTGCTCACATGAGTCTGATCAACACGGTTGCATGGCCCACCTTCATTACGTTCACCCAAAGGCTCACTGACCACCATGTCCGCCAAAGCAGAAAGTCAGAAGACGGGCGTTGCGTCCAGCCTCCACAGAAGCATGTTTGTAGCACAACCGCTCTGCGGCATACTTTTCTGTCCAGCCCGCAGGGTTCACGTTTTAAAGGCCTACTCTTCACAGGGCTGTGAGCTGAGTTATATCAGGTTGATGTTGATGAAACCAGCACCTGGCAGAGGGTTCTTCAATTGTCCAGAGACCATCCGTTCGCAATTTGCTGTTTACAGAAGTCAAACTTCACGGCGCACCGGGTCAACGTTGTCATGAACGGTGCGCCGTGAATTATCCGACTTTCACGCCCTGGATAGTGGTCTCTCACCTGGGTAGTGGTCTCTCACCTGGGTGGTGGTTTCACCTGGGTGGTGGTCTCACCTGGATGGTGGTCTCACGGGCTCAATCGGTGACCGCCTAATTCATAATCAAAAGGTGGCGCTTGCGGAGGTGACTTGTCTTGCAGCGTCTCGAGGAATATGCTGAATTGTTTGCTATGTGCCAATAGAAGCTCCCAAGGGCAATGAAGCACACAATTATCTGAGAGTTTTTTGCAAGCATTATCGGCATAACATTCATTTCAATCTGATATACATCTAGTATGGTGGCACGTGCGCTGCACTCCTCCCAGATACCGGCTGCCAAATATGTAGTATAAGCTAGAAATTTGCTTACACAGCACGTCTAGAGCATTTCTAGTTTAAGGCCGCAGTTTTTTGTACAAACTTCGTTCTACCCGGCATCTATTACCCTGCGCTACGGCGGCGCGTTCGCGAACAGCGTAATGTTGCGGCCCGCCCACCGAAGCTCGTTCGTCAGGAAATACTCGATCCTGGAGTAACCGGTCGGCGCCAGCACGTCCCCACCGGCCAAAAAAGCAGACACGTACCCGAACGTCCCGTACGTGAGGATGGTGTGATTGCACAGCGCGAGGGTCGCAAGATCGACGGCCTCCGACGCGTCGGAGCCGACGAACACCACGTCGGTGCCGACGATATGCTCCCGACACCACACCATATCGTCGCTCGAGACGAGGAAAGCCGGCCTAGGGTAGGCGTGTCGCGCGTACCGCAGCGCACGTTGCAGGTACACGGGGGAGACCAGGCGGCCGTCGAGGTGGGTAGCCAGCCATTCCTCGTAGTCGGTGCGTCGCACGTGCACGCCGATGTAGGTGCGCGTGCCGGGTGGCGTGCGCTCCAGACGCCGACGTGCCGTGCGCCAGATGTTGGTGCGCCAGGGCAGCTCTGCCAGGACGGCAGCGCGGCGCGCATAGAAGCGTGACAACGGGCATGGCCCGCCGGCCACGCGCAGAGAGCGGCCAGCGCGAAGCTCCTCGGCGAACGTCGCCTCATCGCCCAGCGGCCGGTCGCGCCAGTGGACTGCCGCGGCGCAGCGCGCCGACAGCGGGGCCACATGTCGTCGGCCGTCGAAGTGGAGGTTGAGCTTCTCGTTCATAGGTGGCAACACGTACGCATGCACCTCAGGGTTCTCGACGGCTAACACCCAGAGCGTCAGGTACTGGCATATCTTGTTGCCGAAGCGGCCACCACTATTCACAGTGAGGAGGGGCCCCCGGGGGCATTCCGGAGGTCGCCACTCGAAAATGTTCCACGCGACGATCAGCGCCAGGAGCAAAGCACCGGTGACGGCGGCAACAAGCTTCGTGCGCTGCCAACAGGAGACGCGTAAAAGCTCCAGTCCTGAAAAAGTCCTAAAAGCCCTGAAAACATAGGGGGGGGGGGGCAGAAAGAGGTACGAAAGCTTTTGCACGTGCATACCGACTCGGCCATAGGTGCGGGAGCTGTGTTGATGTTGGAAGTCGAGTCTGCAGAAACAACCTAAGCTAAGCTACTCCCGTCATCCGATTTCAAAGACTTTAATTTGGTACCTTAAACAGACTGCTCGATTTTTCCTCTCTACAATTGCACCATTGGTGCTTTCAAGACACCAGTAACTGTGGAAACTTTAATACAAACCCGGCCCCGGACTTAACATATGAATATTGTTTTTGTGCATGTTATGGCTCATTGATATTTAAACTGGAATGGTTGTCTTCAATTGCCAACGACCTGAAATGGTGCGATGGTCGACATTCTGTTCAAGTGATAGGTGAATACATCCTGCATAATCTATGGCTTAGGCATCCACCCCATCATGCTAGTTTGTGAAGTACCTGCCTCCGATCCGCCCTCTCGTGGTGGGGTGGGTTGGAGTCGCTTCAAGCGCCCGTTGCTTGCCCCTGACTGGGATGGCCCGCGGCTGAAGACAGCGACTATGCTGAAGTTCAGGTGACGTCACAGGACAGGAAGGATCGTGCAAAGCATTACGGCACGTGAAACCTTGGCCACAAAAGCTCTGCTGCTGAGCCAGAAACTAACGGTCCGATGGTGGGGTCAGACCTGGCGCAACGACGCCTGCTCAGCATGGGCGCTTATCCCAAACATTCTTGCAATTAAAGGTTCGGCCTAAACCTCAAAGCAACTCTTTAGGATACAGGCTGGTGCCCATCAACAGTTTTAGCCACATTAGCACGCAAGTCGGTTTATCTTCGATTTTCAGCTGCAAACTATACCCTGCTCCATGCTGTTGCCACGGAGTAAGGTAGCCCAGAGCCCGCGAAGGTAGCCCAGAACCCAGAGCAAAACCGATATCAGCCGTTTTCACGATGGATCAATGCGCTGAAGTTTAGTAATAAAAAGTTCAAGAATAATTTTTTGTATGGAAATACATTATTTTAAGACATTTATTCCTCAATGTATATCCTTAGTTAATCCAAATTCTAGGAGGAAATTATGGCGGGTAGTGACCTGGGTGAAGTTGTCGAGGACGCTGAACGCTGGCTGCGTCATTACTGTTAACATCGGTGCTATGTGGAGCAAGACAGGCTTTAGGATCATTCATTTTGGACGACGTTCAAGTGTATGAACTCTGAAGCATCGTATGCCTGTGAGCAGGTACGCCTCCAGAATATACGGGTTTGTCATGTATTTGCGTCAGACGTCCCTCCAAATATTTTGAAATAGTTTCAAAAACTTGTAATGTTGTAAACTTGTAAGCATGTGTAAAAAACGTGGAAGTTTACAGTTGCAGCATTTTGCAGAGAAATTGCCCAACATTATAAGCAATAGATGGTACCTGTAAAGGCAATCGGAAAGGAAGGAACAATAAAGTTGTATCACACTCGTATGATGCCAGGAAAAACAAAAGTAAATAAATACATATAAACGCTAATACTATTTTAGGAAATTTGTTATCAGCTGATTTCAGTTAAAGTATGTCAAAACAAGCGCTTATACGGTGATGCTCAGCTTGCAAATTTCAATTAAAAGACATTTCTTGACTTTTTTACTCCTGCATTTCGGGAGTGCTGCAATTGAGTGGTTAACTTTCTTCGGGTAAAAATAAATACGTGGAGTAAAATTATCTACACGGCTTTAATAATGTTTGCACCAGACTCTGCTTTGGTGGTGTGGTGGTGAGACCAAAAGAGCTGGGGATGCCCGAAAACCTTGCATTTGGCACACATCTGCCAATTGTAATTGCATTTTGCAAATAAACCAGACTTGATGCATGCGAGCGGCTGGAGTCGCTGGAGCTCTCGGACTTGAAGGCACCTGGCGCCCTTGTTCTGTGCATACACAGACATAATTCAGATGTGGATGAGGCAGGACGCAGCCACAGGTGTCCAGAGTCTGTGGAGCCTTGTTTATGCTTGGTGGTTTCAAGTGAGCGCGGTGTTGAATGACATCTGAAGGCCTCGGAAAGAGAAATATGGGTTTGGTATGTGCGATTAGACAACATCAGGTAGGCGTGAAAAATTCACAAATATGGGCCATATGAGCCATATGGGCCACATGGGCCATATCACATAACACGCGCTCAGGTGGGGTCAAGTTGACCCACCCCGAAAGTTTTTCTAGAATAGTTTTCGAACAGCGTGGGGTAGCCGCTCTAAATTTTGTATAGCTGTCGACGATCAAATAGCAGATCATTTGGTGTCAACAATTTAGATGCATCTTGTGAGGTCGCTGGCCTATAGCAGGTCAAAGTCAGACCATGGTTTCAGCGAAGTCAATTTCGAGGGAATCGTTCAATCTGATGCAACAACGGAGTGTTAGACGAAGCCGTGCATCTCTGAGACGCTTTCTCAGGCAACACAACAATTGAATGAGCACATTTCATTGACCTAAGGTCATGCACGAAGGTCAGACCAAGGTTATGAAACCTGTTTTATTACCCTGGGGCTTGCGGTATGGGATAGCTTCTGGTGCTCATCTAGAATTCATTGATAGCGGGAACCGCATTCTACACATTCCATGCACTTCTTAGACGTCAGAATAGGTCATTGACCTAAAATGACTCAAGTCCAACATCTTGTTTTTAGGAAGATGCTGCCTAGCGTAATCTTTGTCGCTTATTCAGATGCAATATTGAAAGCAATCTGGTATAATTTTGGTCAACATGACCTTGCAAAGGACAAACAAGGTCACTGGCCTTAAATGAGCGTGTGAACTTTTGCTTATGAACAGCTATCTAGGTTCTGGGGGCATTTCGTGACCAATCTGGAATTTGACCTTATTTGACCTTATTGACCTGGAGGTCATGGCCTAGGAACCTCAAACTTTGACCTAAGTGAGTTCACGTACAGGTAAATGCACCCTGTGCATTTAGTGCCTCTAACTTTCTTAGTTCTCGAGATCTCAGCGGGGGGGGGGCAAATTGACTTCCACCCAAGCGAATGGTATCCAGCCGGCCACCCGGGTGCTTGTTAAGAATTGAAAAATTCCTCCTCATAGGGTGTTGCTTTACACCCAAAGTCGGTAATTCTAGGACGCTGAACAGATGGACACTGAACTGGACAACGAGCTCATGGCCCACCTTGAGTCCAGAGGCTTACACCAAATACTTAGTGTTTTTGCAGGAATTTGGTCCAAGTTCGCAGGATTTTGAAAAAGCTGACCCTGTTCCCCGTGCGCGGACAAGCTTGCCCATGTGCCTGGCACACAATGTGTCTTGCTATGACGTACAGGTATGCTCATCATATATATGAAATGAGGTGCCGTCCAGGAGCTCTGATTTTAGCCTGCCTTCACATATCCCTGATTTGCTAAGTGAGCGCACCGGCCTGTCTGCCGGCTTGTTGACAGGCAACATAACTTCTGACCGAGGAGGGCGCGGGTGCAGGCAAATGGCCGGCGTAACCAACCGGAAACCAAAACCGTGGAGCCTTTGTCTTCTGTAAGCCAAGAACGGCAATTCAAAGGGGGAACTAGTAATTTTTTGCAGAAGCCTCCACAGCGTACGGGCCGTTGCGCACAGAACAGGTTCCCTATTATCTGCTTGCCGATGGCCATTCTGTTTGAGATACAGCCATCGAAAGCTCGCTATCAGTTTAAGGAAAACACGTTTGAAAGAGAATATGGCTCTGCCCACCAGCGAACTTCCAGTACGGCTACTAAAGCATTTTTTGTAGAACTGACAGTACCACTCACCGGTATTTTTTATCGACCAATGCATGAAGAGTGCACGCCTTTTGTATACGAGGGAGCTACTGTCACCCCTGTGCCGAAGAAAACACCGCGGAAGTCGCCGGGAGAACTGCAATCCCACTTTTAGCAAGGTTTTAAAGAAAAACCTTGCTACCTTGTTGTTGCCCAGCTTCTGCCCGCCAAGCACAGCTCGAGCTGGTTGACCTTGTTGTTCCACTCCTTGTTGACCTTGTTGTTCCACTCAATCTGATAAGATCAAGCATGGAGAAGTGCCAATACGGAAACATGAAAGGTGTCTCAACCTCGCACTATTTAATGAGGTTGCTATATGGCCTGCCTAGTTTATGTTTCTAGTACAAAGTTTTGTTTGTCAACATTTAGTTGCGTAAATACACGCAATAAATCTGATAACGGGGGAGGGGATGGTCCTTCAGTGCATGAACACGCCGCTGCCACTCCCAGGGTCGTCCCCACACACCGTTACACAGGCCAGCCCCGCCTTTGTCTTCCCACGCACCTGCATGCCTCGAAGCTGCTGTCACCGCCGCTGCGCTGGCACTGCGCGGGCGCCCACGCTAGTCGAGGGCACGCACTTATCAGCGTCACGTGCCGCCTGTTCCGGACCGCCCCCCGCACGCTGGCTCGCCGTTCCTGACACCACTGATCGCCCAGCTCGAGCTGTGCTTGGCGGGCAGAAGCTGGGCACCTGCGTCGGCCGGCCTGGCCGCAGGAAAGCGTCGGCCGCTTCCTGCATTTCGGCCTTGTCAAGCTGTGAATGGCTTTCACGCTTACAGCCCAGTTTCAGCCCAGTGTACACGGGCTAATTTTCCGGCGATTGCTGCGAAGGTAGCTGTCGTCCGAGCAGCCCCTGCAGTTGCGAGGGTAGCGACGGCACCGCCTGCCAGCGCCCGCTAACGTATACGGTAGGGTTGATGACGTAAGAAGGCACCTGTCCAAGGAGCGAGC